ATAGTTTAACCTGAACTCCGTCATCATTACACTTTTTTTTCTCCTCTAACTTCTGACACTTCATCTGCTGTGTTTTAATTAATTAGTGTTGGTTTGCCGCCTGTTTCTAAAAAGGCAAAGCTGAAGGCACCATAGTGTTACATGTGTGGAGCTGAAAACAACGAACCAACAGACGAAATAATTTAATCATAACTACACATAAACTTTTAAAACACTTTTCAAACTGCTCGGCTGTCACATGTGAGGATCTGCATATTAACATCGCTTATCATCGCTGCTCTCTTTTTCCATTTCTCTTCTACTCCTCAAACCCCCTCCACCCCCCATCTGATTCATTTCACTTATTTAATAATTTAAGGTCCCCTGCTTTGTTAACTCACCCAATTACATTCTCTTACAGGTAAATAATTAATCAAGGTAATGGTGTAGGCAAACGTTTTCAGTCAAATTGCTTTCGTTCTGTGTAAATCTCATCTTTGGATTTATTCTAAAGACTCGGTTTGCATTCAAGGCACGTCGATGCTTCGCATAGTTTTTTGATGATTAAAAAAAAAGCTGCTTTAATAGAATAAAAAGGCGTTTAAATAGTAAAATGCTTCAGCTGCATTTTTGTAAATAATCTCAAACCTACTACTTGACGTCAAAGGCATCTTATCTAGAAAATTTGCCAAACTTAACACTATTTATCAGAGTAAGAGACTACAAAAAAACCAAGAAGAAATTGTTAGAATTTCTTCTTTGACTGTTTTTAAATGATCCATCAAAAAACAAATCTATGCATGAAAACCTATTTTAGCAAAATCCCGTTATTCTACAAATCTACTTTGAAATGTCGCCAAAAATAAACTGTTTGCTGCGACTAGATTTTGTAAAAAACTAAAAAATTCTGCACTCATCTGCACACAAAAAAGTTTTTTTGGCTAAACAAGTCTGACACAGAGCAGATAGAAGAGAAGCATCAAAACATATTAAAAGCTTAAATAGAAAAATATAGTATGTAGTTGTTATTTCTTCTTAGTGTTGGTAAAATGTTGTACTTGTTAAGCACAAACAAAACAATTCAACTTTACCTTTTTTTTTTTTGCAATATAAGTTTGTTATAGTAAAATATATTTGCCATTGTTTCTACCTCTAGTCGTACTATTTCCATAGAAGTGCAGGACTTTACAGTGCAAAAAAACCCACCCAGAAACTGCTTGGAGTTCACAGAGTTTCTGCATATTCTGCTCACTCTAAATGACAAACAGGAACAATCGTCATTGGCTCCAGATTTGAACCATATTCATCATCACACGGGTTGAAGTACGGATAGAGCTCCTCAGTAAACCAACACTCAGTAAAGGAGTAAATCGGCGTCGCGGTCTCTACGTCATAGAACGATATTTCGCCTTTCTCATAATCCACAAACACTCCGACTCTCTCCACTTTCCCCACGTATACGGGCACATTTGGACAACTGAAGATTTCAAACTTATCCACCAGGAACCAGATGGCCCAGAGTCCGCTGCCAGAGCTCCGAACAAGAGCCCCTCTCCTCTGGATGGACGCCGTGGCCACGCCCAGACACCATTCTGTCTTTTGGCCCATGTGGACCTCAAAGTAAAACCTGCCCGAGGAGAAGCCGCTCTGTCCCAGAACTGCGAGGTGCTCGGTGAACATGCTCGGGTTCAGGATCTGGTTCGCCCACAGACCTGAGCCCATGCTGTACCTGACCTGCTTCCCGTCGCTGGACAAGATGAGCAGCGGGTGAGCCGTGTCGGGATCGAGCACCACGTCCACCTCGTGCTGCTGCATGAAGCTCAGCGTGGCGGCGTTGGACACGTCGGCGCTGCCCGAGAACCTGCTGATTTCTGTGTTCATTTTGTCCAGCAGCACTCGCAGCCGAGACGCTGATTTTCTCACAGATGTACCGAAGTGCTGAACCTCCAGGTGTCTGTTGCAGCTGACGGCGGACAGGTCCATGGTGTGTGGCAGCAGCGGCGCGTTCAGGTAGCTGCGGAAGAACTGGAGCTGGTCTTTGGTGTGTTTCAGCGCCCTCAGCTTCACCGTCGTCCTCTGCAGCTCTGTGATCTCGCCCTCCATGTCGCTGATCAACCCGTCGGCTTGCTGTTCTGCTGCTTCCTGCTTCTCCTCCACCACCCTGACGAGCTCCGCCTGGCTCTTCTGAATCTCCAACACCAGCTCCGTCAGGTCCTGCGCGCTGTTTGCGATCACCTTCTCGCTTTCCGTCTTGCTTTGCTGCACCGACTCCTTCATGCTTTGCACCTTGTGGAGCCTTTCCTGGATCATCTGCTGCACTTTGGCCTCCGTGTTCTCCACCTCGTCCCTCATGCCTTCGTACGCTCGCTGCGCCTGAACCACGTTGTGCCTCGTGTGGTGCGAGCTGGCGCAGACGTCGCACAGCAGAACGCCGTCGTCTCTGCAGAACAGCACCAGGACCCTGTTGTGCTGCTTGCAGATCTTGTCGTCCAGACTCGGCAAAGGTTCCAGCAGCGTGTGTCTCTTCAGCCCGGCAGCTCGGTGATGAGGCTCCAGGTGAACGTCGCAGTACGAAGTCTGACACTCCAGACAGGACTTGACAGCTTTCTTCTGGGCGTCGGTGCAAACATCACAAAGCACCGCGCCGCCGGAGCCGACCTGCTCCGGATCGGCGCTCCACATGCGAGCGCCTGTCACTTGAAGCGACACGAACTGCGACGCGAGCTCCGCGATGAAAGTGTTGACCTTGAGATCGGGTCTCCTTTGAAACTGCTCCTTACAGACGGGACACTGGCAGACCGGAGCGCCGTCCCAGTAGGGCGTGATGCAGGACATGCAGAAGTTGTGTCCGCACGGCGTGGAGACGGGGCGGACGAACACGTCCAGACAGATGGGACAAAGAAACTGCTCCTCGGATAGCAGGCTGCTGGACGCCATGTCAAGAAACACAGAAACCTGTTGAATTATAGTAAAAAAAAAACATTAAAGTCTTGATGTGGGAAAGCTGCAGAAAAGTCAGTTTAACAGAAAGCAGATGCAGTTTCGAGCAGCTGTGGCAGAGTATCTGAGCTACATTTTTAGGAGCCTTTTAAATAAACCAGCAAAGTTTCTGTTTCTTTTCTGCGTTCGTTCACAGGTGACGTTCACTCCGACTGTGTTTAAACAGAAACACAACTGCTGCTCACATGGTGGTGAAATCTGACTCATCTGGTTGGGTAATCACTTAGTCAAGCAGATTTCTTTTATTTTTTTGATGGCATCTGACCCGACTACCTGCAGATGCTTGTTCACCTTCATGCTTTTACTGGTTATTTAATAACTGATAAAATTCACTAAACAGATGTTACGCTTCGTTTTTGCACTGATGTCTTCCTTGTTTTGCCTTTTTAAGAGACGGTTGCCTAAAACTAACCAGTTAGCAGACTAGTAGACTTCACTTAATGCAAATTTACTTCTGTTTTCTGTAAATCATGTAAATTTACTTCCTATATAACCTGCTTACAGACATTTACCGTAATGTCTGGACTATAAGCAGCTACTTTTTTCACACGCTTTGAACGCTGCGGCTTAAGCAACGACTAATTTATGGATTTTTACAAATTTGTGTCGAGATGTAAGTGACATTGAGAGCGACGACGACAGAGAGACTGAGGAAGTGTGAGACGAAGTGATTCTGTTCAACTCCAACACTGAAGAAGACGACTTTAGTGGTTTTATTGTGCAGGAGGATCAATGACTTTTCCTGATAGGCTGCTGTAGTTCTTATTTTCTTAACCAGCAGAGTTACAGCCACTATTCGGAAAAAAGCATATTAGTGTACGTTACCGGTACGTATTTAATTAAAAATGTAAAACATCTTTCTGTGTGCATATCTCATGTTACCACGTGGACACCTGCAGCCTCTATACGTCCACGTTTTTCTTTCTAAAGTTAGCGGGTGCTTCTTATATCCAGCTGCGCTCAATAGATAAATTACGGTACATAACATCCACATGTGTTGTTTAACTCCAGTCCAGCCGTCTGCTGCAGCCGTCAGCAGATGATCAGCCATGAAGCACAGCTTCAGTCCTTCCACATCTGTCGGAGTTTTGATGCACAAACATCATCATCTGTGTCGAATTGTCCTTCTGGTGCTATTTCCATAAAAAATGTGTCTTTGCCGCCTCGATGTCTCACACAGACTGCGCGCTGAGCATATTGATGAACATCGTTTTGTTGTTGATTTTTCTGAATAAGTGTTGATGTCTAATCCGTTCTGTTGTCATAGATTCGACAGATTTTCTGTGGATTGGACAGATTTGTCTATTGGGTGACGTTTAGCTGTGTTTGCTGCTGTTGGATGAACTAATGGAAGAAAAGCCGAAAGCAAACAGCAGCTGAGAAATCACAATATTTTACTCTTCTGAACACGTTGATCAATCTCAGTAACTAAGCCACGGGTTAAACCTTCAGCGTCACCAACTCACAGACATTCCTTCAAATTGCCTTTCAGATGCTGCGCCACACCGAACAAACAAATGTAAAACCTTTTCTTCTTTGCCTTTAATGAAATCCACACCGTCGCCGCAACGCGAGAGGAGCCGAGTGTGATTTATGCACACGCAGCAGGCGACTGCTTTGATTATTTCAATCTTGTGTCACGTCGTCGTGATCACACGGAGCTTTATTAACCTAAATGTTTTCCTGCAAACATCAAAGCTGCAGATTCAGCTTCTGCAGTAAAAACCAACCAGTTGTCAGTGTCGCTGCTTAAAAGCTAAACAATTACTGCACTCATTTATTCATTCAGATAAATAAGAAATAAGGCAACAGTGAAAACAGAACCAGAATTTATCCAACTGAGCCTTTAAGTCGCTCTAGATGGTATAGTTAGCAACGTTTCTTTTTGTTTCCTGAACCATGAGTTAAATACAAATGATAAAAAACTGTCTGTTTATTTAGATCCAGGCTTATATACATTTGGTGTTACTTTCCTACTTCACAGTGCTTCAGGCAAACCTTCTTTCCTTCAGATTAATTTACTAGGTTTCCTACTTCAAATAATTTAAAAGGTGCCAGAAGTAAGTTTATTTCTGTCGCGCTTTTATAAACCAGAGTTACTTTACAGTGCAGTGTCATGCAATATTAGTGCACAAATTTAAAAAAAAGAGAATAAAATGAGAGCGCTCCGACTCCTCTTTGGCCATTTAGATCGAAATAATTTGCAGATTTCAAATTAATGCCTTGTTGGGAACTAAATGTGAACATTTCTGGCTTTTATTTTAAGCTGCCTTGGAAATATTCTCATTCGAATACATTTTTAAATTTCAATTTGCAAAAAAATGTGCATACAGTAGGTTTAGAAATGATCCCAATCTATTAAAAAAAATAAAAAATAAAATCACAATATTTATATTTTAGAGTATTTTTTTTAAGGCAAATCATAGATGGAAGATCAGAAATTGCTAAAATAAAATAAAATAAAATAAATAAAACAATTACAATAGAAATAAAATAACTATTTGAGCGGGGAAAACTGAGTTCTGATTATTTTAATTCTGGACTGACCGTCTCCATCCGGACCAACATGGCGGTGACGCAACACTACACTGACCAATCAGATGTCCACGTGATAAGGTAATAAAAAAATACTGCTAAACTCATTTTATGGAGCACATTTCTTAATAGAGGGACAAAGTGCTTCACGAAAGCACCGACAGCGTGAAACGTGGCCGACATTTAGCAGAACACGTATTTACTTAAACGCCCTTCACGTAAACAAGACAAAGTTTATTGACCTCATAAACAGCTGCTGGGAATAAAAGAATAAAACAAAAAACACGAGTGGGAATTTACTCAGAAAGAAAGTCCGACGTGAGACAGCTGCAAGATAACTGGCTTTTATGGTTTAATTATTTAACTTGAAGCATTTTGCTGCGTTTCTCATCGGAAACGCTAAAAAACAAAACAAACGTATTTTACTGGTTCTGTGAAGGTTCGGTTCGGTGTTACTCACCTACTTGTGCTGCTGCTGCTGCGGGTCTGGAAAGCACAAGAATGAGAAGCAGATGTGTGTTTGGTTGATTCCTACGAAACGAGTTTACTTTCAGTTTCGTTTTGGTTCTGGCCTCTTAAAGGGACAGACACGCCTTTTCCAGGTTTGGACTCTGATGATGGATGCTTCTGGATATAAAGTGATGAAATGATGCAGCTGAAACGTTTATCACGATGATATGTTGGGTTTTAGTTAATATCGGTCATGTTTGATAATCCAGTTTAAGTAGAAAAAAAAGGTTAAAGTTGAATTTAACCACATTACTTTGAATTATTCGCCTTAAACTCCTTCATCAAGGGAATTTTAAAGTTAACACAACATGAAAAAAAACACAAATATGTATATTTCCACACATAGGGTGACCTAGCGTCCTGTTTTCACATCCCGTCCTGGTTGTTTTTTATAAATTGGTGTCTTGGTTCTGTCCCAGAGGAGGCATTCTGTAAATGTAGTGACATTTTAAGGCATCTTTGAGTAAACTTCAAGTGTCATTTGAGGATCTTGTTGCTGCGCCAAGTGTCCTGGTTTGTAGTAAAACGTGGTCATCCTATACACACATAAATGCAAATAAATACGAATTATTTCAGCTTGATTAACTCTAATTAACAAGCAGTTTCTGGGCGTTTTTGCTCGCCGTGGGCTCATTTTTCATTCCAACATAAAGTCTGGCACCTCGATGGAAACAGCATGGCTAGAAGTAGAGGGAACTTAAAAATGTCTTCTGTGCACTGTGACACAGTTTAAATGTCATAAATAATAAAAGAAAAAGAGAAAGTGAAAGTTGAAGTTCTGTCTTTGTTTTGCAAAAGTGGAATTAAAAAAAAAAACCCTGGTATCTGCATTTACAACATTTTTCCAATTTCCCACAAAGACCGGAAAAAATATGACGTTACATATCACAAATGTTTTACTGCTTTCACTTTTAATTTGCGTCCATACGTGTCTTATACTTAGCCACAGAAATGTCTGCTGAAAAGTCCCTAAAGTTTGTGTCGCACGTCGGTCGCTTCACGAACGTCTCAACAGTTGAGGCGAGGATCGAAGATGTTTTGGTTTTTCACAGAATCTGCTCAATGCAAACAGTTTGTTTTGACCATTTGTAAATGTAGACATGTAGAATAAAATAAATTAGATGAAATATCACAAGTTTAAGCTCAGATTTGGGTAAGTTTTCTGATGAAGCATTTAATGACCATTAAAAAAGTTAAAAATCCAAATAACCTTTTTGTTTTTACAGTTTGTTTCTCTGATAAATCGTGTAAAGTCGGCTAATTTTTAAAGACAACATACCAAATAAAGCAGCTGACGGGTTTTGGGGTTTAGAGAGTTCATTACAAAAACACAGCTGACAAAAACCCCATCATACTTTCTCATAAATCAGCAATTTTATAATCAAAAAACATATAAAATATAGAAGTGGCTGCGGGCCTTGAATGCAAACTGGGTCTTTAAAATGAACCCAAAGATGAGATTTACACAGAACCAAAGCAATTTGAGTGAAAACGTTTGCCTACCTTGATTAATAATTTACCTTTAAGAGAATGTAATCGGGCGAGTTAACAAAGCACATATAAGATTATGAGAAATCGTGATTTTAGGCCCGGATTCGTTAAAGTTTTCTGATGGAGCGGCACGTCAGAGAGGAACAGTTGAAGGTAGAAGGTGTAATTTGGGTGATTTTTAGGAAAAAGATAAGATGCTGCAGAGAGAAGTCAGAGTGAAGCAAGAACAGGTTGCGGTTACGAGTCTTTTCCTAAACCTGGTATCACTGGATGTGGAACCCACACACATCACTATTCCCCCCGACATCAGCGCCATCAGAGCTCGAAGCAGCCCTGCAGGGACAGGACTGTTCACCATTTTTAGCCTGCAAGGGCAACCACTGCTCCTCCTCAGCCTCCACCGGGGGGAGATCTGTGGCCACGAGTCGGGTTGACACGAGGCTGTGGACTAACACAAGCCTCAGGAGGAGAGATGGAGGGCGAAGAGGCTTCATTTTCAAAGGAGCTGATCGGTTATTTGAGAGCCAGAGAAGGTGCACGCTTTGCATTTTTGTCATGCATCTGATGCGTTTAAGTGAAACCATCTATCTAACAATTTTCTCATTGCTATTGATCAGGCGTCTATCCCCGCTACGTATCACTATCAGTTAATTGCTGGGGCCCATTCGCTGTTATTTATTGTGTGAGGATAGATTTCTACGTTTCTCTCTAGTGGTTTCCTTCTTATCTTCCTCCAAATTGGACCCAGTGTGTCTCTGAGTGTGTGTCTCTGCACGTGTTTTTGTATTTTGTTGGTCACCGTGCAGCACAATCCGCGTTAGCGTGCGCGCGAGAGGTGGGCACGAGGGTTGCACCGCGTAGATAATGTTGCAGGACGGCCAAGCTGTGTGCGTCGCCGAGATAAGGCCGTGGCTGGTTGCTGAAACACCTCCACCATTAATCATAGTTCAGTTGCTGCTGGGCCTGAAAAACCCCTTAAAGCTTGGGTGCAGAGGAAACACTGGAAACCTTGAAGAAGAAGAAGATACAGAAGCACCGGGGGAAAACACTCGAGTGGAAATAAAATAAAAAACGGTCGATGCTGTGGGTTTTTTTTTTCTGGTTTGGGGGATTTTCTTTCCTTCAAGTTGGAATGAACCAAGAAAGGATAAAAAAGGAAGAAGAAGAAGAAGATAGAGAGAAAATAAGGGAAGAGAAAATAGGTGCAGTAAAAGGAGCGATAAACAAATGCTGTTAAGCAGTGAAGCATGAGAGGAGAGAAGAGATAAGCAAAGGCAAAAGAGGAGAAGCAACATTTGAATCTGGATAGTTTTAGAACCCCAAAGCCTAATATATATATAAATTAGATAGATAGATAGATAGATAGATAGATAGATAGATAGATAGATAGATAGATAGATTTTATTGTCTGTCAAATGGTGACAGAAATTCTCCTTTGACGAGGCTCCAACAATAAAAACACACTTAAGACAGAAGCTCACAAAGTACAGACGTCTCACAGCTAGAAGGTCGCTGGTTCGCCTCCCAGTGAGGACACCCGGGATCTTTCTGCGTGGAGTCTCCATGTTCTCCCCGTGCAGCGTGGGTTCTCTCCGGGTTCTCCGGCTTCCTCCCACAGTCCAGAAACATGCTGAGGTTAATTGGTGATTCTAAATTGTCCGTAGGTGTGAATGTGAGTGTGCTTGGTTGTCTGTCTCTAAGTGTAGCCCTGTGATAGACTGGTTACCTGTCCAGGTGAACCTGCCTTCACCCTGAGTCAGCTGGGATAGACTCCAGCCCCCCTAGTGAGGATGAAGGTGTAGAGATAATGGGTGGATGTTTTATAGATGTTTTTGCGGCCCAGTGGGACTTTGCACCGTCTGCCTGATGGAAGTAACCAATTAACCAATAAAAGATTAGATATTATCACAACTTTAGCAGGGATGAATTGCCACAATTTCTTGATTTATTTACTTATTTATTCATTTGATATCTCAAGAAATCTGACTAAAATCTCATGGAAATCCATCCGTTAGTTGTTCTATTCCAGCCCGGACTGACAAAACATCAACCTCAGAACGGTTCGTGATGTACTCAAACTCACAAACACGTTTCAAAAGATCCATTAAACAAAGATACGGAGACGCTCTCGCCTGTCTGTCGTGTTCCTTTTATAAATCAACCCCAAAAAAAGCCCGATTGAAAGGCCACTTTAATTCAGCGCTTTGTATGTTTTTTGCACCTCTCGGTGCATTAGTACATCTGGTGCTTTTATGCCTGTTATGTTCTCCGCCGTAATTCCTTTTCATTGCCGCGTGATGTAAGTTTTTAATCAGCCGCAGCTCACAACACGCTCCATATTTTGTGGCCTAATTTTTTGCTGCACTTTGATGTCAGCAGTTTTCCCTCCTCAGCCCGTCTGAGCTTCACTCTCACACTCCTGCTGCTCCTCAGACGAGATTACTGGAGGTATCTGGTCACCGCCGTGTTAAACGAGGCTGCTTTCAGGTCACGGTAGCTCCACCAGTTCAGTGAGGATCAGTAGCCGCTGACTGCATTAGCCGGGATCCTGCTGCGGCACTGGACGGCATGCGAGAGTCCTCCATGTAAGCCTTTATGGTCAGATAAAATGCAGACATGGGGCTAATGTGATTTGAATAAAGCTAATTCCGCTCCTCCTCCTTCCTCTCTCTTCTCCCTTTTGTTCGCATTGTCCTCTCTGACCCAAATCCTCCATCTTTAATCCCAAACATCTTATTCTTCTCATCTTCCTCAACACTTACTGACTCTTCCCGTCCTTTTTTTCCCTCCCTCTGTGTGTGCAGTGCCTCTGTCCTGCTCTGAGGGATTCACAGAGTTGGGTTACTACAACGGCACCGTGTCCCAGACGGACTCTGGTGCCCCCTGTCTGAAGTGGACCGAGTTTCCGGACTACGTCATGCAGTATCCGGGCCGCGGCCTGGGAGACCACAGCTACTGCAGGAACCCGGATCGGGAGTCCAACCCCTGGTGCTTCTTCAGGCAAAACTCGGGCGCCATCGGCTGGGCCTACTGCGACTGTCACCAGGGTGCGTCCACACGTGTAGCCCACATTCACCGAGCTATTTGTAATCATAATAAAAATAGATGACAAAAAACATCGATTTAAAAAAAAAGTCGCCCACCTGAAAATGAATTCCTGCTCCTACATGTGACTGTTTTTAATATTGAAGTTATTAATCACGGCAGCGTAACACAGGACGAGCCGCTCCCACTGATAACGATCATCATTATTATTGATTAATCTGTTTATATTTTCTTCACTCATTTCCCAACCTCAGGCGGCGCAATTAATCACAGAGATCAGGAGACGAGTAAAAGCAATAAGAAAACAAATTGTCTAACATTTTCCGGTGAGATTATAGCTTTTTGCCTCCTCTGACATATTTCCCTCTGGACGGCTGGCTTTAAAGCAGAGAACCCGCCCGGTTTGGCTGCATCAGATTGTCCGAAACTGCACATGAATGTTTCAGCAGGTCGTGTGAATACGCAGGGGTTTGATGGAGCGACGCGTTCAGCGCTGCATACTGAACATCAGGAGCTCTGCTGGTAGCTCAGCGGGTAAAAAGAGCTCGAAAGCCACATAAACAATCGTTATCGGATAAGTCAGTCAAGTTAAAGTCATGCTCGGTGCTTGTGACGCTGGTTTTATGCTGAGCTGAGCGTAGCAGCTCAGAGGAACAACAGACCGAACCTGCTGCTGGACTAAAGGCGGCTGTGTTGGACGATGTTGCGACACACTGAAGAGCCTTTGATACAGCTGCTCCCATCTATACCTCCTCATCCTGTGTACCTACTCCCGTGGTCCTAGTCTGAAAGGCAGGATCCACAGGTCACCCCAGGACTAAAACAAAGAGACAACCACACACACTGACACTCATGTTGTGGCAGGAAGCCGGAGGACCCGAAGAAAACACCTGCAAACTCCACAAAGATCCGACCTGGAGATTTGAACTTGCTCAAAGGAAAAGAAGCTTTGGTTTTGTTGGGTTTCCCTGAATAATCTGATGAACCTTTTTGACTTACGCTATGAAGTGGCTCTATACAAATAAAACTGTACTGAGTTGAGTCTATGTGCTGAGAGAATCAGGGCTGATTTGTAATTTCCACCTCTAGGGGGTGGGTACAGTTAATTTCTGGGGCTATTTCTTTCCAGTTGCTTGCAGAAGGAGCATTTACACAATGCTAAACATGCCGGCAGCGTGGCGAGGCGCTGAGCGTCTAGTCTGTGCTAACAGCTGTGTGCTTGGTGCTGCTTCTGGTCGCCGAAAGTTGAAAAACATTGGGTTAAACACTATGTTCTTCACTTTCACTGTTATCCAGCCGTCCAATCACAGTAGAGGAAGAGGGGCGGGACAAATACTAAACCAGCCAACCAACCGTCACAACAGCTAAACAACAACGGATTAGAAGTTAATAATGCTGATCCATGTCTGAACTTGACATCAGATGACCCATTAGATGATGGACCAATAGTGACCTCCTCCACCTTCTACTAGCTCCTCATTATATTCTTATTTAAAGGTGATTTAACACATACAAAGAGGTTGACCGTAAGTCTCTAACTGACTTTTTCCTTCACCCACTGCTTTTGATTGGGTTGTTGGTTACATTTAGGCCTTAAAGATGAGGTCACCAAAACTACTTGGTTGGCTTTAGGCACCAGAACAGTTTGGTTTAGGTATCAACATTACCAGTTACACCTCAACTCTATGTGGTTACGTTTGTGCACTGACAGTACGGGGTTAGGTTTAGGGTTAGCGACCACTTCGTAAACCACATGTGACAAAGCTCCTTTCACTATCAGAGGGTTTACATGCACTTAATCACATGATGCAAGAAGTCCCAGATGTTATCTGAGTTAGTTCACCAGTGATAGGAATGGATGATAACACATACTGAGCGTACAAGGAGGTGGAGGAGGTTCCTACCGGTCCAACAAGATGCTTTGATAGCAGGCTGGTTTGTTCGGTTGATAACATCCGAATCAGGTGAACTGAACGACAGTCCTGCTTTATCGCAATATTCATATGAAAATAAACGCATGAGGAGCGTTTTGTTCGTCGGTCCTGCCCGGTAGGCTGCAGGCAGCTGAGTCAGCCCGTTGATCTTGTAATTACCTCTGCAGGAGGAGCACCTGGCCTGTTCAGCTGGCGGACGCTCAGCCCGACAGTGATGCTTTCAGTTTGTTCTGCTGCCCCCAGCTGGACAAAATTCACATCCTGCATTAAACAATAGATCAATTATGAAGATGGGAGTTAATTTATTCTGCTGCTGTGGCCTCATTTGACTGATGAACACACTGTAGTGTTTGTCGTTTCCTGTTCATGTGACTGTTGCTGCTGAGCATTAAAGCTGCGTCTCTGTGGTTTTAGGTGCGGCCCGTCTGGTCGGCAGCTCGTCCTCCGGCAGCGGGCGGGTGGAGGTTTACCTGAACGGCCAGTGGGGGGCGGTGTGCGACTCCCACTGGACAGACAGGGACGCCAGTGTGATCTGCAGACAACTGGGTCTGGGGTAGGTGGAAAAAAATGCTTAACAATGCATTGCAGTGATGTCTGACTGTCGTGTAGAATTCACTCTCACTGGTGTTTGTTTGTTTGTTTGTTTGTTTGTTTTCAGTGACATTGGCACGGCGCTGCAGCACTCGCAGTTCGGCTCCGGCTCCGGCCTCTTCCACTACGAGCGTCTGGGTTGCCGCGGCGATGAGAACACCCTGAGCAAGTGCCGGAGCAGGACGTTCGTCACCGGTGACTGTAGCCATGGAAACGAGGCGGCAGTGGTGTGCGCGCCTCCGGAAGGTCAGTGTGACATCCGCGGCGTCATGGCAACCGGACCTGAACGTTTCCCCCTCACACACCTGAAACACACACATTCATCTTTCTGCATTTTAAACTCGACTTGTTTGTGTTCGTTCCTACTTTTGCGTCACGTTAAACGTTTGAGGGGCCGTTTAAGGCCGGTGCTGCTGGATGTCAGGTGTTTTTCCGCTTCCCTTCGCAGGCAGCGGTCCTCCTCTGCGATTGGTCGGAGGCGAGGAAGACTTCGAAGGTCGCGTGGAGGTGTTTCACACGGGAAGGTGGGGCTCCGTCTGCGACGACCAATGGGACGACAGAGATGCAGAGGTGGTGTGCAGGCAGCTCGGTTTCGGGTAAGTATTTAGGTCTCCCCCGGAGGCCCTAAACTACAGGATTCACACCTAAAATCACAGCTGAAGGTGTTACATTGGGACTGTGCATTTATAAATAAGGTCATCCTACATTCCTCCTCTTACCTTAAGACTTTCTGGATCCACCCTCTCATTTATGTCAAGAAATAAATCACACATATACACTTTATTTGTTTTAAAAGAGGCCCAGTAACTTTCTAGAACACCTGGGCACCGTAGAGTCCTGCAGCCAAACAGGTGTAAAAAGCCCATCTGTCTGGGACTACTTTCAGCTGTGGATTAATACACATTTGGGGCTTGTGATTGTGTTTTGCGGCAGCAGGAAGGTGTGTGTGTGGGACTGTCAAGATAAAATACAGTGACGGTGTTCTCTGTACTGAAGGAACACCCAGTGCACTGATGTGTTAAATAGTTTTTGGACAACAATGGCGCTCCGAGGCACAGAGGAATAAGGCTTTGGATGCACACACAATACTTGTTAGTTGGATCAGTGTCACCAGTTTTATCCTTCAGTGGGCCACATAAATAATGATGTAAACTGCAGGACGAGCTCAGCTGCTGCGTTGTTTCCCTCAGAATAATAAGACGTTTGCTGTGGATGGTTGGTGCAAATGTAATTAGAACTAAATCCACTTCTTCACTTAAATTTAGTTTAAACTGTCAGGATGTTCTGTCTCCAGCCGTGAACCGCAAAAACAGAAGGAAACTGTGAGTTTTCAGTTTTCCAACGGCCCTCAAACTACTCATCCGTGAGGTACGGTTCCATCATAACACTTAATCAAGCTTAAAAATCACAATATTTCCTCATTATCACTTTATTCCACATATGTCTCATTTTAAAAAATTGCTCAAAATGAAATTTTTACATTTACCAGATTCTTTAAAAATCTAAAAATTTTGCTCTTCTCAACACAACTGTGGATCCATGAGCGACTCAGCTGCCACCGACGGGGATTTAAGAAAAAATCTGGAAGTAGTTGTATTCAGTTTTGGCTAAACTCGGCTGAACTGCAGGCTGTGTTTAACAGAGCGATAGATAAAATTATCTAAGTAGTGAAATGTCTATAGTTTGTGGAGTCACCCTTTTATTTTCTGAGCCCACAGTGATTAAAAATTGCAAAAGGAGTAAATAAACCCATGAACTTCTTGGAGCTTAGAGGGTTAAAACAGTAGAAAGGCCACCAGAGTCGACAGTCGTGGGTCATTTTCAATAATAGAAGCAACACACTCGCTTTCAGTTCTGATATTTTCAGCTGCAGAGATCCATCGCTGCCTAATTAGGAGTGAAACTGAATTGTTTATCCGATGTGCTTGAGTGAGCTGGAAATGTTTAGTATCAAGACTGTCCGGCAGAGCACGGGGGTGTCGCTTAGGTCACGGTTTTCCTCACCTTGTCAGGAAAACTCACTTCCGCTGTGGCAGGCAGGTGTTTCCTCCTCTCAGTGTTCACAACCCTGCAAGTGTCAAACAGCGATGAAGTTGTTGCTGCGAAGAGAAAGAACTCCTTCCACGTTCGACACAAAACACCCAGGGACACCTCACCATCTGTGTTTGTGCTGGTAAATAATTGATGTCTTGACACTGATGCTCGGATTCTAACTGAGCCGCTCACAGGAACTGATCTGTTCTGACACTTAAAGACGAAATCAAGCGAAAACGATTTGTTTTTCCCCACTTGGATAGTCTCTTTTTTTTTTCTCCTCTCTTCTGCAGTAGGTAAGTGTGTCAAACATGTGCACACTTTTCATGTTGACAGATTTTTAGAAATCCTCGGTCTCTATCGTAAAGTACCAGACAGTGATAACACGCTGTTACGAGTGAGTTCAGCTTTTAAATGTTAGAAATATGAATGAAAAATGTACTTTTCTTCTTCTTCTTCTTCTTCTTCATCTTATTATTATTATTATTATTATTATACAAAAAGTAGTTGGAGCAGTAACACCTTCATTATTACTGTTATATACTAAAACTATTGCCTAATATTACTGCTGCAATAAGGTAAAAATAAGCAAATTTTATCTTTGTGACTGCAACTAATGTTTATTTTACATTATTATATTTATTTAACGTTATTATACTGATTAATTTGTTCATTATTGTCTTAAATAAAGTCTAAATCTTGTCAAATGTCAAAATTATTACAACTAAATTGAAATAATTAATAAAAAATGAATAAAATCCTCGTATTTAAAAGGCCAGAAACACAAAATATTCATAATTTTTTACAGAGAATGTGTCAAAAATAGTTGTTTATTAGTTTTCTCTCATTTAACTAATTGGCTTGTTGTAGTTTAATCTTTAACAAAGTGTTTAGTTTTATAAATTATTCAAGTTTGTGAAGCTGTCAGACAACTATAGTGGAATAAAAAGTACAATAAGAATTGAAATGGAGCAGAAGTACAAAGTAAAAGTATAGTAAATACTCTAGTAAAGTACAACTACTTTAAATTTGTGCTTAAGTACAGCATCTGACAGTAAACTCAGTGTGATTTCTGACCACATTCCATCTCCCGTCCCTCCAGCTATTTATTTTTTTGCCTGTTATTCCAGATTCACACTAATAATATCAGAGGAGAAGCTCGTGGTCGCCACAGTACGACAACATCGGCATCACAAACCCTCTGTGTGTTATTTTGAGGTTTAACATCAAGTTTTAACACAGCACGGATACACACACACACACACACACACACACACACACACACACACACACACACGCAAAAGGGCTTTTTATAACATTTCGGCATCAATAAATCAGCACCACATGAAGCAGCAACATCCTTGTAGCGGTTCATTATTTATGATCCAGATGACTGATATCGGCCGTATTTACAGAATATTTGGTCCGTTTCTGTGCAGCAGTGGAGAAACTTCAGGTTTACATCCAGAAGGTGGACACCTGTAGCGTCAACACCTGTAAAATGATGTCGTCTTAATGCACTTTATGGGCAGGGATGTCGCTCTAATTTGACCCAGATTGAAATATCCCAACAAAAAGGGTTGTTATGAAATGTTCTACAGACATTCAAGGTTCCCTGAAAAGACTTCTCGACAATATTTGCCACGAACTAAATACCAGCATCATGTACTTTGTGTTTAGTGCAAATTAGATGTTAATATCAGCACCTTTAGCTGCCGGCACGGCCGTAAACTCTCAGTGTTGTTGGCATTTAGTGTTTGATTATAACATTTGCAAAGAATTAACAGTTAAAATCAATAAACGGTGCTATGACCTCGATCAAGTGCAAAAGGGAGACGCAGCGGGAATAACAATTAAAATCTAAATTAAAGGCCAAATTAAATGCTAACAATATGGGGTGGTCGAAATTATAAAGGCAAAGGCGGGCGGTGTGCACAACGTGGTTGTTGCATAAAGAGTAAATTAAGACGACATAATGAAAGTGGAATCAGAAGTAGAGACAGTGACTAGCTTGCAGTAACGATGAGCAGCCACCTGCAGAGAAAGTACAAGCACAGGTTAGTAACTGGTGGCTAGTATTTAAGGTTCTAATGGTGTCACAGAAAAATAGCACCATACTCAACCCACAAGGACAAAAATTACAGGGACATTAAACACCTGAGTCCTGCTGGAAAAGCAGACAAACCACAGCATTTACTGAATAAACAGACCTACTACGATCATCCATCCATTATCTAGACACCAACAAATGCACAATTCTAAGAAAATCCACATGACTGCATTCAAACTCACCACAACATTATCTTGATATGTTTAATGTCCAAACGTGGACAATCCAGTGGGTTATAGTCAGCATGAACCCCAACAGGAGACCCGGACGAGCCCCCATCTACTGTGATCTGACTCAAGTGGCCACGAGTTTAAAGAATATTCTATTAAACCAGATTAAAGGCTAAACTACACACTAATAATCGGTAGAGTTTTCTGAAAACAGGTGAATCCCTAAAGGCTAGTTTTGTCTGTATGTGAATGTTTTATGTGAGTAAACGGTTGTACAAGGACACCGTTGGGATGCTCATGTGTTTATTATATCTAACTCTGACCCTGGGGATTCAGATACAGGCGTCCTGAATGTTGTTCACCAGCATTTCTTTGAAGCCGAGTGAAGTAGGCACAACGTTGACGCTGACTTGCTTCCTCCGTGTGTTGCAGCGGCGTGGCCAAGGCCTGGTCCTGGGCTCACTTCGGTCAGGGTTCGGGTCCCATCCTGCTGGATGCCGTGAAGTGCACCGGAAACGAGCTGTTCCTGGATCAGTGTCCTCATGGCGACTGGGAGCAGCACAACTGTGACCACATGGAGGACGCCGGCGTCTCCTGCAGCCCTTACACAGGTTCATATACCACACACACACACACACACACACACACACCGATCGGCTTAAAGCTGCTATTTATAGCCTCCGAACATCAATAAATCATTACGGCATGAAGCAGCAGCATCCTGTGAGTGACAAGCAGAAACAGGCTTCGTGGGAGCTCAGAAGAAACGCATCCACTCACGTGACTAAGATTAATAATTGATCTGAAAATTATACTTTAATGTTAATGGCACATGTAGCACCAATAAAACTGAACCCTGCCTTCAGGAGGCTTTTATTTGGAGGCTGCTTTTAATCACATTTACGCTCCCGGGGGGCTTTATAACGGCCTCGAACTGTTTCAGATGGCGTGGTGCGTCTGGTCGGAGGAGACAGTCCGTGGGAGGGTCGAGTCGAAGTGTTTCACAACGGCGACTGGGGGACGGTGTGTGACGACCACTGGACCCAGCAGCACGCCGAGGTGGTCTGCAGACAGCTGGGATACAGGTATGAATACCTAAACAACACACAGAGTCCCTCACAAATACAGTTTTTGGGCAAAGTACAAATAGTTCTCATGGTTTAGCTGTAATAACTTTACTGTTTTAGTTTGAGTCTAGTTGCTCTCATAGCATCGTTTACATCCGAGGCAGGCAGCTGTTTCCAATAAAACCCTCTGATTAAACCACCGTACACCGTCTGCTCAGCACCAAACTGCAGTCAGACACAATTAGAGACGAGCAGGTGAACATCGTGCATCACCTAGCAGCTACAGAGTGCTGGTGGAGACCAAAAACCGGCTAAAATAACATTTTTTTCCTCATCTAAATAAAGTAAAGTAGTTTAATCTTACTGTTAAAGGTTTTAAAAGAGCGAATTCCAGTTTAGAAAAGTCCAGATTTTTGATGTGGACATTATTTACAGTTTTATTCGGGAGAATTTATAGCAAAAAAAACCTCAAATATTTACCATTTACCATTCTTTAATGTACCTAATTTTTCTTTCAAATAACAGCAGATATCTCTAAAGGAACAATATATACATTTTTGGGTTTAAATGAAGTAAAAAAAGAAGCTAAAGAGCCAGATATTTTACTTTGGTGCTGGTGGAGACCAAAAACTGAGCAAAAAGTACTTATTTTTTGTCAATATTGCTACATTTGAGTTGCCTATTTGATCATGAGTTTCTGTGTTATTCTGTGGGTGAATGAAGAAAAGTTGGGACAAAAAAGAAGAACTGTGGTTGGTGGAGTTTCACTTATATATAGTGCTAAACTTAATTCAGTTTTATACGTTCTAAGAAAACTGCAGCCTGCTTATTTCCCCAGAATGATTAGAACACTAGTAGGAATTTTATCTAAAGCAACAATCCCACCTTGAAACATCCTGGATTTAGCTGAACAACCAAATGTAAATTTGCAGTTTTGAGTAACTCGATAATTTTCCTCCAAAGTCTACATGATGTGATGAATCATGCCGACACTCAATCACAATCCTTCTCCTCCTTCAGGGGTCACGCTGAGGTCGTGTCAGACGGGACCTTCGGCGAAGGCGTCGGTCTGATCCTCCTGGACGATGTGCAGTGTGACGGATCCGAGACGTCCCTGCTGGACTGTAAACACGGGATCTGGGGTCGGACCGACTGCTCCCACAGCGAGGACGTCGGCGTTCGCTGCAGAGGAAGGTCCAGCCAGGAGACCAACGAAGTGCCGGTTATCGCACCTTCAACAGGTGAGGACGTCTACGCTTTAGTTTTCCTTTTTATTTATTCATTCCCTGAGCTTGAGAGGCTTTGTTCAACACCTCAAAGCTGCCCAGCACAACCCCAGTCTGTAGTCGATGTCTCAACAACAATAACGTCAATAAAAGCTGCTAAAAGCATTCAAGAACAAGCTGCTATCTTCACTAAAATGTCACTTCTTACGGTTTCCTTCAGAATCCAGATTATAGACGAGCTAAACGTCTGACTTAGTTTGACAGTTTCTGCTGGATCTACGTTTTGTGCAGGAGTTTGTCCGACTTTTTTGTAAGTTTTTTGTTCACTGCAAAGCAATTATTGTAAAAAGGAAAGAAGAAATCTATCATTGCACCGCACTGCAGAAGTTCGGTGGCTGTGCAACAGCAATTACTTTTGTACCACAAAGGGCAAGCTGTCACTGCATAATGTTGGTGTGTTCTGCCAGACTGGGAGCTATTAGAGAGGCCACAGTCGGCTCTCCTCCGGTGTGTTGTACAGCTGCTTGCATGTGAAAGGACTGCAGACTCACAGAATCCATACAAGACGCTACTCCTCACCTGCCTTGTTTGGAGTCCAGGCTTTTCTTCTGTTACTCATCAATGCCACCATGTCACACATTTGCATAACGGACTGGAATGACCTCAAACGTGCAGGTGTTTCCTCACTGGAGCATCTTCTGGTGGAGCTACGTCTGTATTTAAAGATCTGCGGTTACGCTACATGACCAGTGGGCCCCTGCAGAAAGACACAGGATGGTTATTTTCAGCCCAAACCTTTGAGTTTGTTCTGACCACAGGAATCGCCTTCGTAGAGCCTCTTTCAGAGCTGAGAAATAAGCACCTACTCCATCACAGGTACATCTGAGCGACCATGAAAAACTGCTGAGGGTCTCAGTGCTGATTGGTTAAAGTCCAAGAGGACAACAAGTGCCGCTTTTCTGTTAAATGGTAAATGGTCTGCACTTATAGAGCGCTTTTCTACCGTCATACACCAATGGTGACAGAGCTGCCATGCAAGGTGCTGCCTGCCATTGGGAGCAACTTGGGGTTCAGTGTCTTGCCCAAGGACACTTCAACTGTGGAGGGGATCAAACCGCCAACCTTACGATCAGAGGACAACCTGCTCTACCTGAGTCACAGCCACCGTCGTTGAGTCTTCTTCTCTCAAACATTCAACATAAAACTCCCCTTATTAACTAACATAACAAACCCTCCATGGTTCTAGTTCCCATTCCCAGTATCTACTACCTGTCGCTGATTTTACTCGAGTTGACATCGTGGTCGAAGCTACGTCAAGATGGAAACAAAAACCCTGAAAAGGTTGATAGGGTGGCTGTTGTTGGACACGTTTGTGCCACTTTGCACGTTCCTCGAGTCCCAGCAGTGGAAAACCGCCTCACGTTGCTTCACTTTGAACGACCGGCTGACCAATGGGAGCAGACGAGGCCTGTAGTAGGGCGACATCAAAGAGACAGGAGCTGAAAAGACAGAAAGGAAGAAGAGGTGCTGCAGCAATGTGCAGTTAGAGGAATGTAATGTGGGTTTTT